TAAATTAAGTATAATTTAGTTTAAAAAGTTTAAAATTACTTTTTCTTCTTGTTTTTGTTTATTATTTTTTTTTTTTTTTTTTTTTTTTTTATTGCTTTATTGTATTATTCTTGATGAGAATTTTTTATTCATTGTTATATTAATCTACTATAATTCCTTTTTGTAAAATATGAATTTAATATAGATATGCATTATAATGTAACGCTGATATATAATATTTATATTAAAGGAACAGAAGTCAAGTTTTATACAATCGGAGATGCTGGAAGTTGGCCTGCGAGTCGTTCGCGGTCAGGACTGGAAATGGGATGATCAGGATGGCGGTGAGGGTCATGCCGGAACAATAGTGGAAATTGGTAGGCCTCCCTCAACTGGAAACTCCACCTCCAGTCCAAATCCTACCGATCGGACACCAGACAAGACGGTAATCGTTCAGTGGGACCATGGCGCTAGAAGTAATTACAGGATCGGTTATCAGGGAGCCTATGACTTGTTGGTGTTCGATAACGCAGCTACTGGCGTTAAGCACACAAACATTATCTGCGATGGTTGCAAAAGACATGGTATTATTGGCATTAGGTGGAAATGTACAGAATGTTTCGACTATGATCTCTGCACACAGTGTTACATGGCTGACGTACATGAGTTAACTCACACCTTCGAGAGATATCAAACAGCGAATTCTGTGGGGTAAACTTTTACAATTTTAATTTATCCAACACAACGTGTAATTGTAATTATAATGTTTCTTATTGAACACAGAGTTCATCTGGGATCGAGAGAAGGATGCACGAAAATACCTTTGAAGGGGATCTTCATAGGAGCAAAAGTCATTCGCGGACCAGATTGGGAGTGGGGAAATCAGGATGGCGGCCGTGGTAATATTATTCATATGCATTTGAATCAGTTACATAACTACATAATAAATTGTTCACATCTCATTTTCCTCGTATTTCAGGAAAACCCGGCAGAGTCATGGATATACGCGGTTGGGATAATGAGAGCAGTCGATCCGTCGCAACTGTTACGTGGTCTACGGGTAGCACTAATGTATATCGACTAGGGTTCAAAGGTTGCGTGGATCTATGTTACGTGGAGGAGGCTAATGCTGGTACTTATTACAAGGAACACCTTCCGTTACTCGGCCAATCGGTCTTGACCTTACCGGACAATGGAAACAACTTGACACCAACCAAGAGTAGTGCCCCCAATATCATGTCTAGTCCACATCCTTTAACATTTAACGTCGGCGACAAGGTGAAAGTGTTAATGGAAATCGATACGTTAAAGGAGATGCAGGACGGTCATGGCGGTTGGAATCCGCGTATGGCCGAATATATAGGAAAGGTATTTTTTTTAGACAAAAAGTCACCCGATCAACTTCTTACAATTTACAAATGAAAGATGGATTAACAAATGTTAATTAATATTAATATTGAAATTTAGATTCTCTGAATTTCGGTTTTAATAATAAGGCAGAAAGTATTAAAATATTCATTTAATTTTCTTATTTGAAAATATTAAAAATTTAATATAATCTGTTAAAATTATTGGAGATATTATGTAACTAAATTTATTAATGTTAGTAAATTTGAAACTTAGATCGGCACGGTGCATCGAATTACGGATAAAGGGGATGTTCGTGTGCAGTACGAGGGCTGTCACAATAGGTGGACCTTCCACCCAGGCGCTCTGACGAAAGTTACCGCTAAAACGCATCCTCTCTCGGTGATATAGTTCGCGTGAAGAGCGATCTTGTTGCTGTCAAACAATATCAACGTGGCCATGGTGAATGGATAGACGTTATGAAAAACGTTAGTTGGCAATTTGCTCGTTTTCCCTTATTTATAATTTTTTTTATTTGATACGGCTATATACGAAAAATGACAAATGCTTGCGAAATGCTTTGCAAAAATTTATGTTTATTGCAGGCTCTGGGAAAAACTGGGAAAGTAATTAAAATCTATTCCGACGGTGACTTGCGCGTAGCGCTGGATTTACATGGACATACGTGGACTTTTAATCCATTAAGTGTCGTCCCAGTATCTTCCGGCACGAATACTATGGCTGCCGCACACGATAACGCGAGCAGGGATCGTTCGAGTACGTTTATTTTTTATTAGTATATGTGAACTCATTAACGTTTAGAAGTAAAGGCATTATTGTACGTTTAAATGTCAAATAGAAAGAAGATTGATTTGCTCTTCGTTGCTACGTATAAAATAAGTTTTGTTTATTTGATTTGTTCTCGTGATGCAGTCGACGGTACTGATAGCGAAGTGGAGAAGCTGTTGAGGGACGCGGCTAGAGGTGAGGCTGGTGTAGATGCAGTACGCGAGTTTCTCAAAAAGTATCCTGGCAGAGTGGATGCGTGTGCTCCCGGTGGCGGCAGGAAAACATGCCTGCAAGTGGCGGCGCATCAAGGCCAACGTGAGCTCTGCACTCTGCTTCTAGATGCTGGTGCGTCTCTGCGAGCAGTAGATGAGGATGGTGACACGCCCTTGCACTACGCGGCATTCGGGTACGTTGATAATCATTATCATTGGATCATTCGCAATATTGAACCGCATTGATGATATTTTTTTTTTATTTATTCTGATTGAACAGCAATCAGCCAGAGATAATGGAACTGCTGCTGTCGCGAGGTGCGGCAATCAACGCCGTCAACAACGGTAGATGTAGCGCCTTACATGTGGCGGTTAACAAGCAGCATGTACAGTGCGTAAGAGTGCTCCTACGTTACCATTGCGACGTCAATCTCCAGGATTCGTACGGCGACACAGCGCTGCATGACGCGATCGGAAAAGACGCACTGGATGTAATTGACGCATTATGCGCCTGTGACAGAGTTGACTTTACGCTGCGGAACAAACGAGGTTTCAACATCTTGCATCACGCCGCACTCAAGGGCAACGCTCAGTACGTGTCTAAAACAGAGTGAATTAAGTAGTCGCAATAGCGACTCGACATACGTTTCTATTAATTGTAGCAACAGCTTGGTTTAAAATTTGCCTAATTCACTTCGCAAATCTGTGAATTCGCAGTGCAACGGAAAGGCTGGTTGCTCGCGCGCGTCACTTGGTGGATGTGAAAAAAGAGGACGGCTTCGCGGCGTTGCATTTAGCGGCGTTGAATGGACACAGAGAAGTCGCAGCCATTCTACTCTCGCAGAACGGCGGCTGCGCCAAGGTCGACCTGCGTAACAATCGGCGGCAAACGCCGTTGCACTTGGCGACCTCACAGGGACACTGGTCGCTCGTCGAATTGCTAGCGCATCACAATGCAGACATCGGTAGCACAGACGAAGATGGTGACACGGTGTTGCACATCGCGATAGCCAAGAGCCCAAATCAACAGACTGCCGTACCCACACCTGAAAGTAGCCGAGATTCGCCACTTATATACGCTGTACGTTGTCTAAGTTATTTCACCTTATGTGAATATTCTAGTTATGCTGTTTTATATACTAGAGTTGATAATTGGAACGAATATTTATGGTTCAGGATGATAAACTAGATCTATAAATTTTTCTGAAAAAAATGATACATTACAAAAAATCAAATCAATTAAATAGAACTGATTAAATAACAAAAAATTCATCTTTACTGGTCCCCGTTTTTGTTTTTCTTTTTTAAAAAGAAATTTTTAAAGAAAGAATTATTTCATATGTTTACGATTTAGAAAAAAAAACAAAACTAAAAAAAAAGATAAGTTTTTCAGTCCTTTCTAATAAATATTCTTTTTTTCTTTTGGACAGATTTGGCAGAATCTGGCGAGGCAAGACGCAAAGACTGAATTAGCATTAGCTTGTTTTTTGATAAGCGTGGACAGAAGTTGCACACTCCTTGAGCAGGTGAAAAATAATAAGGATAAGACGCCACTCGATCTTCTGGAAAGCAATCCGCAGACCGCTGTCCTCGCGGATCTTCTACGATCCTACAAATATCAAAGTCACAACACGCAATTAGAGTAAGACGAAGATATGAATTTTATATATTTCGCGAGTTCAACTCTTGAGATGCAAATTTGATTGAAACGCGATATTAAATTGATTTTACATTTTGAAAGCTGATCTTGCGATATTTTTACCACAAGAGACCTAATTGATCGATTTCGATAATATAAATTATTAACAAATATATAAATTCATCTTGCAGAATAGAGAACAATCCATCGACTGGTTACGTCGAGCCACCTACGTATCGGATAGATAACATATCACAATCGGAAGGCTTGCGTGGCGCGAAGAAGAATACAACCGGTTCCGATGCTGCGGAGTGCCGAGATTGCTCAGGGATCATAGGAGATACAAAGCAGGAGAACCGGATTGATCCTAGTAGTAGTGTTACGCTCGTTGGTTGTGCACGTTGCGGCCATACCGTCGTCAAAACGCAAACGATTCAAGGTACATGATCTTCCGTGAATAATCTAAGTTGATCAATCTACTATTAAGCTTGTAAGACAAGTTGCATAGCAAATTATAAAAATTACAAAAATTATAGAAACCATATAATGATATATCTTGTCATATTCATATATTTTTCTAGACGGTCAGCTGGCGACAGGCGAGGTCTCGATAGCTAATCCGGAGGATAAATCGAAAGACGTGTCGGAGAGCAAACGGAAGGAAGAGATTGGCGACAGGGAAAAGGAGAAGGACAAAGACCTGGAGCGATTACGTTATTTGGAGACCAGAATCGCGGATCTCGAGGAGGCGAATATGTGTAGCATCTGCATGGAACGTCGTCGCAACGTTGCATTTCTTTGCGGTCACGGCGCGTGCGAACACTGCGCAGCTCCGTTGAAGACTTGTCATATGTGTCGCAAGACGATCACAAAGAAGATTAATTTGTATTAAGTCATTAAGGATTGCACGTTTACTGGAACATTGGTTCCCGCGCTATATACAGCGTGTTTCGGGAGGAAAAGTCAATATCAGTGATAATAATAGTAAAACTGCTCTGATTTGTTTTAACAGTTTTAACAGTTTAAACAATTTAGACGTTATATCACTTGGAATGAAAGATATTTGTTCGCAAGAATCACTTTACTTGCTACTTGCATGTTCCTCTTGAAATGCTCTGTATTTGATTCCAAACGGTAAATTTTGCCAACTGTTAGGAAAATATTGATTGATTATGATAACGCGTGTAAAGAATCATTGACGTCGCGCGTTAAAGAAATTAAACTGCCAAAAACGTACATTTTTTTTCATGATTTTTGTGTGAAAGGGCGAAAGACGACGCTCTCTATTATATTGCACTGACATCGTGCCATAGTGAGACACGAGTCGCGTTTGTCTGGACACAAGATAATAAGACTTTGTTACCTTTTATTTTTAATGATTAATTAAATCAATGCTATTCAGAATTAGTTTTGAGATTGGAGACTAATTTGAGACCATTAAATATTTTTAACATGTGTCAATATTATTTAAAAATATATTTTATATGTTTTAATAATTATTTTATAATTTTTAAAAATATGTGAACGTATTCTATAAAAGTAAAATTTTCCATGTTATTCTTATGTATGTCCTAGATATATACACACATATCAAAAACTCGTAATGATCTCAAATTGGTTTCGTTTCTGAGTCACGACAAGACATAAACAGTGAAGTAAAAAGTTATGAAGTAAAAGGTAGAAAAGACAATAGATGTATGTACAATAGATGTGAATACCGTATCATATCTAAGCCCAAAACTATAAATTTAGGACAATTGAAAACGATCAATAAAAATTCCAATACGAAGATATCTTGTGTCTTGGCAAACATCTGCGATCGTACATCGTGTACGCTTTTCTTCCTCACGAATCGGCGTATCGCCTGTGCTTTATCCCGTCCATTTTTTATCCATATTTGAAGAAAGCGCGGATAACGAGCACGAAAAAATGAGCTCATCACAACATAGGAAATGCTATCGCGCTTACGTAGTAACAATCAGAGAATTGTTCGCACATGTCGCTACATTATTGCGAAAAGAAAAATAATATACCATTTCTACGTGTTCGACAATTCAAGCTGTATGAATTTCTATCGCTTCATGCGCAATAGCTGGGAAAGGGGCATATTTAGATGATGTAATCATTAATCGTCTCGAATTTGTTATGATCAAGAAAGCCTTATTTATAAATTTTTACTGAGAGATCTCTTATTAAACTTGTTTGTTAAGTTTGTTAAACTTTTAGTGTTTTCTTTAATATATTAATATATATTATTGATGATATAATGTTTGATATATATTGTTTGAAAAGATATTTAGTTTAGGATTAAGTATCATCACGATGGAATGTTTTCGATGCTCTAAAACGCACAAAAATATTTTGATTAAAAAAAACACGAGCCTTCCATACAATATTTAAATTATGCGAATCTGATGTTTAAATGTAGTCCCCTTTCCCTTATCGCATTTTCATTGTTCGAGGAACATTCTGCGATCAGTGAGACACATTAAAGGGAAACATTCAGTCTTATAGCCAAATTTTCTAGGTAGAATAATTGTACTCGTTTGTATAAAGTGATTCATTTGTGATCAAGTGCGACAGCAGTGGAACCAATTAATTTTAAGCAGTACGAGCGCATGTTTAAAGAGAAGCAACTCGTTTGTATTTAATGAAGCCGACAATTGCCGAGGTACAAGTTTATTATTAACACGAAGGTCGATCTTCCGAAAGATCCTCGAATTATCCGAGGAAAGAAAGTCTGCGGATGTGATTTTTGTGAGAATTTTTTTTTTATCAGTATTAGATTCTTGCCTTTCTACTCAACACAACGAAAAACTTGAAGAACGAGGCGCATTAAGAGCTTTGATACGAATAAGTCGTAAGATGTATTCCCGAGCGTATCAGAACTGTGTAATCAATCGATTTTTACATCCGCTAGAATAATCTCTACATTGATGGCTGGAGGATCGAGAGCGATCTTTATAAATCATCCCGCAGTGGGACGAGAGCGGTCCTTTCAAGGTAACGCATCGCGAATTTTACGTTCACGATGAGAAACGTACAGTTTGCGATAGTGCCAATCTGATTTTATCAAGATGATATTAGCTTCCTCTTCTTTCTTTTCTTCTCCATTTTTCTATAATTATAGCTGTATTGTCGTTTAGATATCTGCGGTATATGCTACAAAAGATGTTATATTATGATAAAACTACAGCGTATTCCTTAAGCATCGATAGATTTCTACAATTGTAATTTAAGATGTAATTTAAATAAACAATTTGGCGGTAGATGAATTTTTAATTTAGTGTGCCCTTCATATACGGTTTCCTTCTTTTACTGTATCTTATCGAATAACGAGAAAGGTTTCTCTTTCGCATTGCTTAGTAATCGTGTCGTTGACAAAAGTGAACAACATTACAGGAACAAGACACAACGATAACAGGAACGACGAATGCATACAACATAACAGACATCTCACGCACACACAAACGAGAATCGAAAATGAACTTGTCCTTAGCTTAGCAAGCAATCTTATTTATTTTGGTACTCGATAAAGGTTCCGATAATCGTATATTACAATATTGAGCCAGTTTTGCAAAAATTGTAATAGCGGTATACTAATGATATATAATGTAATAATGGTAATAATATTTTCTCCTAAGTAACCTCTCCTAAACGCAACGTACTCTATTAGTAATATGTGACACTGTATTATCTGTAGTACCTAATTTTTTAAACTTAAACTTAAATCGTGGGGCCGTAGCACGCCATGCAATATGATCACGCAATTTTTCATCTATAGAGCTGTCTTACACGTCTTTCTCGAATATGTAGCTCTTATCTTATTTTTGTCTTCTCTTCGAAGAATAACATGTGATCCTACCAAAGGGGACAACCAAGCGTCGAGATATGACTCATTAGTGATTAAGAAATTTAACATATTCCATAATGTAATCTCCATAAGAACTGATATGAATATGCTACTCTCTACTTGATTAAATCTCTTTACGTCTCACTTAGACACGTCGTGGTTTCCCCTATTTTTGGATCATTTCTACAAATTACGTACAACATAAAAAATAATTTTTCATTTCCTTCGCTTTCATGTCTTCTTCTGTTTTACTTTTCGTTTGCTATTCTTTTTTCGTTACTTAAAAACGTGATTAGGTTCAAATAATGTACTTACGATTGGAGACTGTATGAATCTGTATTGCTAACTAAACAAATACGAATTGGATAAGTAATAAGAAATATAAATACAAGTAACAGGCAAAATGCTTAATAAAATAACGTTCTTACGTTTCATGCAATTTTCAATCTACCAGGCATTGGAAAGATAGTAACATTGGATGAAAAACGCAGTCGAGTCTTCGTATCGTTCATGTCACTCTTATTCGCTGTTATATTACTTTTCCATTGCTTCGCATTTCCTATGATTATACAAGTGTACAATTTACAGAGACGTACAATCAGCATCCAATGCTCCAGTACTTGATAAAATTATCGAAAGTTCAATGAAACACATTTTTTTCAATGCATCACTTAGATACGTCATTACAACTCTAATCTGAAGAAGACGTTGGAAAGTGCACTTGCTACTTACAAAAAATTGCGGAGATTTAGATTAATCGATCCGCAAGCGACGTAAAATATAAATTTGCACAAACTCTGGCGCGCGCGGACTCGTGGTGTTTCCTCTTTCTCTTTATACCACTTCACGCGACAATTTCCATGTCCAGCGCACGGCGAGACGCGAGCCTCGCTTTTCCGACAAACAGTCTCATTGCGGATCCATGCGACGCGCGTGATCGAGGTTCTATTCGTAACTACGTATAAGACTTCGAGTGATCGATAGCGAGAGAATAATCAGGAGAGCCGTGGTAAACGCGCACAGACGAAACACTATGGCAAACCCTACCCTCTTTATATCTTGAACGCGTGTGGCGTGTTTATCGGCAAGTTTTATTCTAGCAGGAAGTTCCTTTAATAGGATTCCTTAATAGGAGCCTTAATAAGAGCTTTTCGCTCTCTATTTCTCTCTCTCTCTCTCTCTCTCTCTCTCTTCATACATACATTGTCTCTCTCTCTCCCTCTCAGAAACGCGACACTTCATCGACTTCTCGCGCGACGTCGACGTTATAGATACGTAAAACCGTCACACTGATTCATTCGTCGAGCGTAATTATTGTCAACTACGATCAAGTCCTGAGTCCGGCCAAACACTGCGAGATCACCGTTTTATTAACGTTCGGAAACGATAGCCGTAAGATACCCAGTACTTCGTTATATTAACACACAGAGTAATGATATATACATATATGTATAATATATGTTTTTATCATAGCGATAGCACACTATTGCCTAATATATTTCTGTAACGTCACGCACGATCATATTTATAAACGCGCATATGCCCTGATAGATGCGCCTGTGGCTTCATATATCGTCTGCGTCAACGTTCATACGATGATCGCGATGCGTTGTCATTGTATATTAATGATAATAGTAAGTAAATGCGATTGAGTCGAAAATCCCTTGAAGTGCATCCCTTGAAGACGACTATGTCTTCATAGTACGTCGTACGAAGCTAGATTTTGATCTAGAGAGAAATTAAAGAGGACACGAAAAAAAATAAAAAGTCCCAATGCGCTAAGTGCATCTTTTAAAACAAAAAATGGGATGCAAGGAAAAAGTAAAAAAAATGTTACACTAATTAAGAATCAGAGTGCTATGCGCGAAGGATGCTCGATCAGAGTTTATCTTCTGATTCGTCTTAGCCAGCGAATTCTCGCAAATTACGTCTATTTGCGTAAGGTAACGCAAATCGGAGAAAGCGAGACACTTGCATAATACAGAGAGAAACTCGGCGGATCCGCGGTAATGATCGAGATCGTGTACGGGGTATCAACGAAAATCGGGCGTCAAAATCAACGTTTAAAACAGCGTGTGCAGCGTTTGGTTGCGCACCGATCAGAACGAGAGTTGTACGGAACGAGTGTAACTACGTGATTAGAACACGTCGAGTCTGCAGCTTCTTTTTTTTTCTTTCATTCAGAATAAATCAGTGCGATAGGCGGAAACGAAACGGAGACAATCATACCTTATGTATACGAATATAGAGGATACACTACTGTGCCGTGAATTGACTGTTAGTGACGTGGTATTTAAGCTACGACCGGTTCGGGACTGCACGGCTGAAGCTCCGGCTCGTTCTGCGGCTCCGCGCTGTTAGTAGTGGTGGTGGTACTCGAGGTCGCGGTCGATGTGTTCGGCTCGTGATTCGGGTCGGCGGGAGTCATTGCGGCCCACTGCGTGGTGTATGGCGCCGCTCGTGCCTGTCGCCTGGCTTTCCTCTTGGCGCGACGTTGCTCCATGACTAAGCGCAGCCGACGCATCTTGCCCTTTGTCGCCTCATTTTCCTTCGACAATTCCTCTGCGCATTCCAAACACCACAAGATATATTAAACATTCATGAAGATTAATGATATCAAGATCTCAAAAAGTTACAGATCTCTTGTAAATAACAGTTAATATCATAATATCATAATATATTTAATATTATAAATTAATCTTGTACAAGTATCATTTTATGTAAATTTCTAAATGCACACCGCTGGAGTATCCTGGTGTGGAATCATGACAGCCGACCGACGTGGTAGATCCACTCGCGTTGGCCGTGGTGCCCGCAGAAGATGCGGACATTGAGGAGGATTGCTGACGAGCATGCGAATGCCTGTGATGATGGTGCCTATAGTGGCTTGCGGATGCAGCTGGCGTCGCGCAGAGCAAGTCATTCAGGATGTGAATGATGGTGCTAATGTCGCGCTTCGGCCGACCGTGTCTGTCCTGGAGGGCTGGGTTCAGAGTGCCGCTGAACGTGCCGGAATACACGCCCTTGCCATGATGATGCATACTCTCTATTATCGCACCTTGCCTACGTCTCGCGTTCTCCTAAATTTAAAGAGATACATGATATTCTGCGTCTATCAATTAATATCCAAGTCTTTGCATTTTAACTTATGAAATACTCCTTTAATCAAGTGTCTTGAAAAAAGAAAGAATTAGAACAATACTATCGTAGAAATTATTTTCCTATTTATTAAATAAGTTGTAAAGATTGATTCTTTTTTATCCTTTTCTTCCTCCTTTTCTTTATCTTTTTCTATAAATCTCTTCAAGCTTAAAATATAATCAAATTACTATAAAAACGTTAAGCCCATCTAATAAATAAAATTACATGATTTAAACAAAATAAAAACTTACACACTGATATAATGTTAAACTTAGAGCAAAATATTCATTTTTAAAAGAATGCAATGTGAAATCAGTATTAACGCCTAATATTAATAAAAAATATACAATTCACTTTGTATAGATAACAAAATTTGATTGTTAATTTTAATAATGTAATATGACGCTGAGTGTATATATATACATATATATATATATATGATAATTTTAAGGACCTGAGAGTATACGAGTAAAAGCATTCATGTTTTCAAATTCTTATCCATGGTCTAGAAAATAAATTTAATATAAGCGGAGAAATTCGTGTCACTTTGAGACACGATCAATTCAATTTGTACAACAAACTATTCGATCAGAGAGACAATTCAATTTGGCTAGACCGGATACGAGCATGACACACCTCTTAGGACCTTAATCGACGTGCAATCACGAATATGAATCACGAATAATGATACACAGGGGGAACTGGCTTCGGTAACAATGTATACCTCTGCGAGGTCGACCGCGAGGTGAGTACCTCAGAGGAGAGCTGCTTCA